AAGGAGGCAACATCCCCACAGAGAGAATCAGCATGGCTAACTCTAGAAGTGTGAGAAAATAACCACTCTAAAACATCATTCACATTATGGTATATTTGTATAGTTGCTCAATTAAACTAAGCATCTAGTTACTTACTAAGTAAACTCTTCTTAGTTTAGCTCTGATGGCCTAGTGGTCAAGGAGCTGTGCTCTCCAAATAAAGGACCTTGCTGGTTCTGTGGGAGAAGGCTCTGTAGTTTCCTCCCTTGCAATTTCCTGCCTCTGAAAACCTGCTGGAGGGTCAGTTATGGATCAGTTCTTTCTCAGTGGTACACCAACTTAGTAAACTAAGAAAAAGAATATACAGGAAGACAATAGTGGGCCTCTGTACTGCTGTTGTGTGCCCTACCCTCCAGTGGGTTTTCAGAGGCAGTAAATCACACAGGAGGAGATGGCCCACCTTATCTCTAGGAGCAGCTAGTTCATTCAAACTCCGGGCAACCAAACATCCTACCAGTAGGTCACAAGAGCTCCCTAGAAAATGGATTTTTAAAAGAATGACACTAGAAGATATTATCATGTAGGCCAAAAGTTACAGTTATGTTGGGAAGGCAAACACATTCTTGTCTATTTTTTGTAGTGTTTATAATCAATTTTTGCAATCATGAAATATTATATTCTTAAAGTATTCCATTTTACATTTAGATTTTTTTTACATACTTTTCCCTAATCTTGGTTTGACTGAGGGTTTTTTTCCCTTTTCAACCAAAGTTCAAACTAAAAGAAAATGTTATGTGGCTTCTGATTCATAGTGACCCAAATTATTTCATAGTAGAACTAAGCTTATCATTATAGTATCTGACTGTGACCCTTTGGAAATATATTGATTGGTGGATTTGATATGGCTAATTGCTTATGGCTAATGGCTGAGTGCTGAAATTTTTGTATCACATTTAGATGGGATTCAGTCTTTAGATTTTACTTCTCTACTGACATATCCAGGAAAACAAACAGATTTATCTTGGAGAGGATTAAACCAAGCTACTCCTTGGAGGCAAGGATTCTGGGGCTTCGTCTGACATACTTTGGACATGTTGCCAGGAGGGACGAGTCCTTGGAGAGGGACATCATGCTTGGGAGGGTGGAGGGACAACGCAGGAGGGGAAGACCCTCTATGAGATGGATTGATTCGGTGACTGGGGTAATCGGGATGGGTGTGTCAGAGGCGGTGTGGTTGGCGCAGGATAGAGCAGGGTTTAGAGCTGTTGTGCATAGGGTCGCTATGAGTTGGAAACGACTCAATGGCATGTAACAACAACAACAAGAACAACAACAACTACTGACGTATCGTAACTCAAATTCATCACTGATTTCTTAATTGTCCACTTAATTTTCACTCTATGTGTTCTACTTAGGGAGCTTTGGTGGCCTAGCAGTAAGAGTTGTGCTGCTAACCCGAAGTCAGGCAGTTCAAATCCATCAGCTGCTCCATGGGATAAAGAAGAACACTTTCCTCCTTTGAAATTTATAGCCTCTGAAAACCTAATGGAGAGGCAGCTATCATTGTTTTCAGTTCTTTAGCCCATCACAGGAACAACAGTATATTCTCCTTTAGAGATTTTTATCTACCCAATTGGTCAGACATCAACTAACATTTAAGGATGCTAAGTCTTTATGGCAATACATCAATCATACATCTGAATTTAAAAACTTGAATTTTCAACCTTTCATCAAAATCCCATATATGATTATTCAGAAAGCTGGACAAGGTTTAGGAATGATAGAAGGAGAATTGATGCCCTTGAGCTGGAGAACAGTATTGACTATAGTGCTGGGGGAAAAACAGATTCGTCCTAGCGAGGGTAAAACTAGGCTATTCCTTGGAATCAAGGATTCTGAAGCTTTGTCTAACATACTTTGGGCATTTTGCAAAGAGGGACCAGTCCTTGGAGAAGTTTATAAGTCTTGAGAGGTTGGAGGAACAGCACAAAAAGACCTTCGATGAGATGGATTGACTCAATGACTGGAGTAATGATGGTAGGTGTGTCAGAGACAATAAGGTTGCCTCTGGATAGAGCAGGGTTAAGAGCTGTTGTAAACAGGTTCACTATGAATCACAAGTGACTCGATGGCAAATAAAAACAATAAAAATTATATCCTTGATATTAGCATATGTAATTTTATCAAAATTGGAGTTATTTATACTTGGGCTAGCAACCAAAATTCAGCAGTTTGAATCCATTAGCCTGCACTATGGGAGAAGGATTAACAGTCCTTTCCCTTAAATATTTAAACCTTTGGAAGCTGATGGAGTGTCACTGTGAGTATGAATGTATTCTATAGCAATGGGTTTGGTTTTGGTTTTGATGTTTTTAAATATAACATTTAATTTAAAAGCCAGCTTGGACATCCATCTTGTGAACAAGGAAGGGATGAGAAGACTCACATATTATCTTAAATCAATTAAGCCAAGTTAGAAAGAACTAAATTGAATGAGTTACCCTGAAACTTGTGATATAAACACAACACCAAAAACCAACTTTATGGCAGTCAAGGGGATTTCTATTCAGGACAACTCTCAGTTGAGTTTCCGAAGCCATAAATATTAACAGGAGAAGACTACTTCCTTGTTCTTCTGTGGGAAAGCTGGTGGATTTGAATGATCAGTTATTTTAACCAAACAGATAACTCACTAAGACCCAAGAGCCCAAGTACAGCAGTGCCAGCTATTAAACTGAGAGTGTTCTTTGAAAGCCTGTGTTAAATTAGATCAACAGGAAATAGGTAATAAAGATTTACTCTTTGTGTGTGTGTTTGTAAAGCAAAACTCAATGACTGCTGAGCAAATAATGTGACATGTACCAACCCTATTCCTTCTGCATGAGAACATGCAGGTCATCTCCTTGCCTGTAGTCTCCTGTCACATCTACTGTGCACACGTAGAAAAAGCTAAGCTCATGAAGACAAATCCAAAGAGAGGAAGAAACCAGTGGTGTAAGATTTAGAGTAAATATAAAATATAGGAGCCAAGCTTCTCTGTAGTCATTTCCCAAACTCAGTATCTTATCAACGTGGTTCTAAGCACAGTATTTACACTCTCTCAAATATCTTTTCCACATGTACCATTCCAAACCTAGGTTAAATGTCACTGACTTTTTGAAACCTGATAGAATCCCACAGGCTGATTTAGTCATCTTCTGCTTTTATAGAACTTTGTGCTTTCTTCTGCTAAAGCATCTATCCGGCTCTACTAAAATTATTTTTATAAATTGGATAGACCCAATAGGCTGTGAGCTCCTATAGTGCACAGCTTGTGACATTAATCTTCATATCTCCAACCCTTAGTTTTGTGCCTGGACCATAGCAGGTGCTCAAGAAAAGTGTGCTTCAAAGTCTGCATAAGACATGAAAGCTTTAAAATGTTCCTGGTTGTTGCCTTTGGAGAATGAATAATTTCTTTTTGTTCTTTCTGCAAGAGAATGTAGAGAAAATTTGGTTTAACTTTGAAAAGTATACTCTAACAAGATAAAAGAATGCCCCTTCTATGCCCTCTTAGGCTGGCCTTTTGAACCCAAAGCCAGTTTACTCAAATTAAAGTAGTTGATACAATTAGAGTTAGGAAAGATTTTATGTAATGGGATTAGGTTTCCTTCAAGAAAATTGGGATGAATATGAGTCTCATGCAATAATTTTACATTTTAATTCATTGCTGACTCCACAGGGCAGAAGGGATCATAACCCTTAGTCTAATTTCAGGATGATGAATTGAGGCTTTTTTGTTTTTCCCCCCAGTGAGCCCTAGCTTTATAAAAAAAAAAAAAGCTTCAGATATAATGCTGCAAATTATATTTATATTTAAATTAAGTGAATTCAGTATCATGATAACAGATATTCTTATAAAAGAGAAATTTGGCATCATAGCAATATTTGCTAGAACAGAAATTGTAAATTAATTATTAAGTAACTACTGGAAAAACCCAATCATTGCCGTGAGTCACAAGCGACTCACAGCTGACCCTCAAGAGGGTTCTGAGGCTGTAAATCATACAGGGAGGAGTTGCTTATCTTTTCCTGGGTGGGGGGGGGGAGCTGGTGCGTTCAAACTGTAAGGAGGACACAGTCTTTGGGTTAACAGTCTAAAACTACTCAAGGGCTTTGTCACCAGAACTACTAAGTGATAAGAGACAGCAAAAATGATGCCATAATTTAAAAAAAAATGCATTGAAGTACTTAACATTTAGTTAAAACGTTAAAAAATATGAATCCACGAGAAATACATATTACCCAGGAAGAAGAGAGAAGAGGAGAGAAATAGTTGCTGAGAAATTCAAGAAGATATCATCAGCAAGATCTGTTTCAGTCTGAGTTTTCTACAGTGGGTGACATCATGAACGAAGGCATTTAATACCCTAATGTCCTTTAACTTACCAGAAATGATGGTCTGTCTGATGTCATAGAGAAGTTTAATTTCAGACCGAATAATCAAGATAAGAACCATTTAAAGTGGCCATAAATGCCAGATGGAAGATTAGGACTCAATGTGCACAGTCATCCCTGTTTATAAGATCTTGCATTTGAGACTCAGTTTTTGAACTTTGGAGTCTTCTCTGCTTTTATCCCAGAACTATCTGATGTCAGAAATGATGTTCTTCCATGTTCTTTTTTAAATACAGCTAGACTGTTTGGTAGTTTCCTTTCAGTATGTTGGTTCTTGTTCGCATGCTGCTTCCTGAAATGGTTTTGTGTCAGCCAGTTCTTTTTGGTACAGTGATTCTATGTATTTCTTCCATCTTCTTTTGATGCTTCCTAGATAATTCAAGATTTTCCCCATAGCATCTTTCAGTTTTGCAAGGCTTGAATTGTTTTCTTTGGTTCCTTAAACTTGAGACATACCAAGTGAGTTTTTCCCTTTTGATTTTCTGACTCTAGCTCTTCGCACTACTCATTATAATGCTCCGCTTGATCTTCACAAGCTGCCTTGTGTAATCTTATGTTCACTCCTTAACTTCCTGATTTATTTCCTTTGCTTTGGCTTCTCAGCATTCTAGTGAAATATTCAGTCTCTTCTAACACCTCTTTTGGTCTTTCCTTACTCCTCTGTCTTTGTAGTGACCTTTTACTTTCGTCATGAATGATAATCCTTGATATCATCCCATAGATCATCTGGTCTTCTTTTATCAATGTTCAGTGCCTCAAACATGTTTTTGATATGGTTTTTAAATTCAGATTGGATAGACCTGAGGTCATATTTTGATTCTTGTGGATGTGTTTCCATTTTCTTTAGCTTCAGATTGAAGTTGATATAGATAGTTGATGGTCTGTTCCATAGTCAGCACCTGGCCTGGTTTTCACAGATAATATTGATCTTCTCCAACGATTCTTTCCACAGATGTGATCAATCTGATTCCTCAGGTGAGGTCCATGGGTATATCTGCAACAATGAATTCAAACATAACAATGATTAGGAAGATGGTATAGGATGCATTTCATTCTTTTCACATAGGGTTACCATCAGTCAGAAGGAAATTGATGGAGCATAACAAAAGGATGAGAAACATGATAATAGCAGAAATTTCAAAATAATGAAAAGAAAAAGCAATTGTGTTCTGGTCTTATTTTGGCCACAATAAACTGTGGGGGTCATCAACAAGTCCATTGACCTCTTCAGAGTTTCCTTCGCCAATCCAGAAATAAGGTCGTTAACTTTGGTTAGTGCCTGTGACCCCTAGAGTTAAGGAATTTCTAACATGTCCAGCATTTATCCAGTTAAGCTACTAAACATATATTTAAGTAGAGGCTAAGAAAACTAGATCAGCTCTTAATGATTTGAAAAAAGTAGTCATTTATTCTAGATACATGATAGAATTTTATCTTCATCCTGCCTATGAGATAGGTGATAGGTCCCTATGACAACAATACACAGGCAATGACATTTTCCCAGAGTGCTTTACATATATATATAGAAAACAGCAGAAAATTAACCCTTATTGAGGAAAACCATGTGCTTACTGTATAATTAAAATGTTTAATTAAATATACTCATTTGCATAATGATGCTTTTGTAAGTTACATCTCCAAGATAACAATAGTGTGTGTTGATTTGAAGTTGAAACAAAAAAGAACAAGTGCAAATTAATCCAGAAAAGATGCCATTTTGCTTTATAATTAGATACATTAATAAACATGTAGGCTATCACTTATTAAGGTAATATTGACATGCAAATATATTTCCAGATAATGGATATATTTAGCTTTTCTATTTCTATATTGCAGAGTGTTATTGATCATCATCTGTGTGTTAACCCAAGAGACACATATTAGTTTAATAATCTAATTGGCACAAACATAAGATACCTAAAAATAAGTTCTGTCTGGTATTACGATTCTAAATGTTAGTTTAAATGTGATCTCTGTTGAAAATGATTTGTAGAAAACAACATCGGAAATTTCTCAAAGAACCTAGTGAAACACTAAAGAATCTCTAAGGTCATGAAACCAAACAAATTATTAAAATGTCTAGACAGAAGCCAAAAAAAATTTGATAAGTTGATTTTATAGACCAAATATAATATTTGGTTGTGTAGGCATCATTTAATTTTTCAATCTAGTGAAATGATACATAGCATCAAGTTTAGTTACTTGAAAATTCAAAAGAAAAGAGACATCATTTTTTAGGTATCCCTTGGAATATTTTCTCTTTGTCCATAAATATTTGTCAGACACAGAAGAATATTTTAGATAATTTGACTGGCAACCACTTGAGTGTTTTGTAAAATGCAGAATCCTAGATTAGATTTAGATTTAGCAGGTCTCTGGGTAAAGCGAATACAAAACCTATACTTGTCCAGGAGATAGTCCTCAGAACAGAGCAAGGAAACACCACATTGTTTAAAATCAGGAAAGATGTATGCCAGGGTTGTGTCCTATCTCCACACCTTTTCAATCTATATATGTAACAGATCATCTGGAAGGCTGGGTTCTATGAGGAGTGTGGCACCAGGATTGGAGGAAGACTCATCAACAATAGTCTGCCTTATGCAGATTACACAACCTTGTTTGCTGAAACCGAGGAGGACCTGAAGCACTTGCTGCAGAAGGTCAAGTTCTACAACTTTTAATATGGATTGAAGCTCAATATCAAGGAAATAAAAAAAAAGATTCTCACCACTGGGCCAATTGACAACATCATGGTACACAGTGAAGAGATTAAGATAGTTAACAGCTGGTTTGTTTACCTTAAATCTTGTTGTGTTGCTCAAATATTTTATAAATTCTAGTTGTAAGTCCCTTATTTGACATGTCATTACCAAATATTTTTTCCTCAGTCTGTGGCTTCCCTTTTTATGATGTTGGAGAAGTTTTTGGATATGCATAGGGGTTTGATTCTTATAAAGTCCCACTCATCTATTTTGTCCCTGGTTGTAGATTTTTCAGGATGCTTGAAAGATTGTTTATGTCATGGATTAGGACTTCTAGAGTTCTTTCAAGCTTTCCTTTAATAAAGTTTATAGTCCTTGGTTTTAGTCTTAGGTCCATGATCCACCTTGAGTTGTTTTTTGTGTATGAAGTGAGGTGTGGCTCTTGCTTGAGTTTTCTGTAGATAGTTTTCCAATTTTGCCGACACCATTTGTCAAAACACTGTCATTTCCCCACTTAACTGATTTCATCTCCTTGATAAAAAGCATAGGTAGTTGGACTGATTTCTGGATTCTCAATTCTATTCCATTGATCTATATGTTTTTCATTGTACAACTTTTTGTTTTGTTTTGTTTTTTTTCACTTTTTAATGTGTGCATTTTTATTCAACTGGTCTCAAGTCAGTGTACAGTTAAAACCATGGCTGCCTCCACAGCTCAGCCACCCCAGGGAGACCGAAGGCCTTCACATTTCTAGAGTTGAGGAAAAGGGTAAGTGCCCCAAAAAAGTAGGGCCTCCAATGGCTATCTATTGAAAACAAAAACTAAAGAACAAGTATTAAGATGGAAGATCTTTTTAACAAATAAAAAAAAAATTTGATAAGGTATAATTTACATAAAAGCAATGCTTGCCTCCCTCTGTCCATGGGTGGACCTGGGTGAGGGATGGGGCTCTTCTGCTGAGGGGAAGGGAGAGGCTTTTGGAAAGGCAGGAGCTTCCTGTCACATCGTCAAGTTGATTATATGGAATGACTATTTTAAAAAAAGAGAACAATGTACAATCAAAGTCCTGGGCCACATTGGAGAACTGAGGGGATTCTTGCTCCACACCAACTGTTGTTATCCTCACCATTCCAGTTTTTAAATCCTGAGTAAAGCGCAAAAAACCCCACAAAAAAACAGACAAAAAAACCCCAAAGTCATGCCAATTCTCATCCTTTGGGTTTTTTTTGACTACCACAGCAGTATAGAAGGATTTGAAATCAGGAAGTGAGATGCCTCCCACCTTGTTTCTCTTTTTAAGGAGTGCTTTGCTTATTCTGGGCCTCTATCCATTCCAAATGAAATTGGAGATTGCCTTTTCCATCTCGTTGAAGAGTGGAATTGGTATTTGTACTGAGATTGCATTGAACGTGTAAATTGCCTTTGGTAGAATTGTCATTTTCACAATATTTTGTCTTCCTGTCCATGAGCAAGAGATATTCTTCCACTTCTCCAGGTCTCTTTTTGTTTCTTGTAATAATGTTTTGTGATTTTTAAAATAGATCCCTGTGCTTCTGGTTAGATTTACAAGACAAAGGTAAACAACCCAGTTGACAAATGGGCACAGGTTGTAAACAGACACTTCACCACAGAACACATTCAGATGGCTAACAAGCACATGAAGAAATGTTCAAAATCCCTAGCTCTAAGAGAGATGCAAATCAAAACAACTATGAGATATCATCTCACATTAATAGGAAATTTTAACAGAACAGTGAACAACAAATGCTGGTGAGGTTGTGGAGAAAATGGAACCCTTATTCACTGTTGGTGGGAGTGTAAAATGGTGCAACCACTGTGGTAGACTGTATGGCGCTTTCTCAAAATGTTGCAAATAGAAATATCTTTTGACCCAGCAATTCCACTACTGGGAATATACCCTAAAGAAACCATAACCGCCACCCAATTTGATATATTTGTACCCATGTTTATTGCGGCTTTGTTCACAATAGCAAAGAGGTAGAAACAACCCAAGTGCCCATCAACAAATGAATAGATAGAGAAGCTGTGGTATATTCACACAATGGAATACTACACTGCATTGAAAAACAAGGAATTTATGAAATATTACACAAAATGGGTGACCCTGGAGGACATTATGCTGAGTGAAATATCTAAGTCACAAAAGGACAAATACCTCATAGTGCCATAGTTGTAAAACAAGAATGACATCAGCACTGGGGGGAGACTGACAGAAAGGGGCTAAATTATGTATACTGCACTGAAACAGATGAGGGAGAGAACTGTTTAAAAGGGATATATGATTAGGTATTGTCATGTCAGGAGTTCAGAACAAAGGCTGTATGATGGAGTGGACTTGGAGAGATGGATTGTAAAACATTAAAAAAATTGTCCTTCTACTTTTCAAATAGAAGAGTGAACTGGGGGGAAGGCATGAGCAAGGAGAAAAATGTAACGAATGAATGAAAGTCCAAAGTCTATGTAAACTTACCTTAAAATTAATAATTTAAAAAAGAGGAAAAAAGAAATGCTAAAAAAAGAGAAAGTGATTATTTCTCTCTAAAAAAAAAGATAGTTAACAGCTTTAGTTTGCTTGGCTCCACAATCAACACTCTTGGTACCAACAGGCAGGAAATCAAAAGACAGATTGCATTGGAAAAGTCTGCTATTAGAGACTTCTGCCCCAATGATGTCGTCTGGAGACTAAGGTACACTTGATCTAGGCCATGGTCTTTGCAATTATTGCTATGCATCAGAGAGCTGGACAATGACTAGGGAGGAGGAGAATTGATGTCTTTGGGCTGTGGTGCTGGAGGAGAGTATGGAATATACTAAGGACTGCCAGAAGAACATGCAGGTTAGTTCTGAAGAGGGTGAATACCAGGCTGCTCCTTGGAGGCAAGGATTCTGAAGCTCTGTGTGACGTACTCTGGGCATGTTTAAGGAAAGACCAGACCTTGGAGAGGGACATTATTCTTGGGAGGGTGGAGAGGCAGCATGAGAGGAAGACCTTTGAAGAGGTGGATTGACTGTGATTGAGGTAATGGGGGTGGGTGTGTCAGAGACAATAAGGTTGACTCAGGATAGAGCAGGTATCAGAGTTGTACAAAGGGCCACCATGAGTCTCAGGCAACATGACAGAACATAGCAGCAGCAACAACGGGACACAGCAGTTAGAAATCTAGATTTTAAAATAGTCCTGGCATTTACTACGTACAGAAAATAAGGATATGTTTCTAGAAATATTCTTCATTGTTATGGTGTAGATGGAAAATTTGCATGTCATTGGAGACCAGGTATTGGAGAGCAGATCCCAGATTTGGTATTTGAGGAATGAGTTTCTGCTTGAGTACCCAGGAAGTAATTGAAATAGATTCCTTATTTGTTTGGTAAGCCATAACTGTGCCTTTTAGTCTTCCAGTTTCTATATGAGCTTGAGATAATAATAAATACATATCACTTTCAGGTATTAAAGCCTGTGCTGTCATATGCATTTATACTACATAAAATAAAGTCTTAAATATTAAAAAATTAAAAATTCAATTTTACTTTCAAAATATAGGGAGGAGTCTGACAAGAGATTGTCCAAAAAGTTAGATGGAGAATACCTTTGTATGAGCTTTGGTGGCCTAGATGCAAGAAGCTGCACTACAATCCCAAAGACGTGTTTTGAAGCTGTCCTGCTGGGGAGGGATGGAAAGTCTCCTTCCATGTGATTAACCACCTGCCTCTGAAAACCTTCTGGGGGTCAGGTGTGCGTCGTTTCCAATTCTACAGTCTACAACAGCATAGAATCATCAATTAATTTCCAAATTCTATAGGCTCCACAGTCTTTGTAACTCTGTATCTTGTTTCTGTGTGCCATCATGTTGGTACAACCCATACCTGACCCTCCAGTGGGTTTTTAGAGGAAGCAGTTAACACATGGAGGAGATTGCCCATCCTTCTCCAACAGAGCAGCCTCAAACCACATGCCTTTGGGATTGCAGCTCAGGTTCTTACCACTAAACCACCAAATGTCCCGAATAATGTAAATTTGTTGGCATTGAATTATGAACAATCATGTCAGCTGTTACTAAGTGGTTTTGACTCATAGTGACCCCATCCCCGTATATTTCAAGGTAGAACCGTAATCCTTTTAGGAGCAAATCACAAGATCTTTCTTATGAGTCACCTCTAATTGTGTTCTAACCATCAGATTTAAATATAACAGCTAATAGCCAGGCTCTTAGCTGTTCGAACCAACCAGAGAATTTTAATGCAGCAGGTTAATTTTGACTCTTGACCTCCATTTGAAGAAGTAGAGCTACTACACAGGATTACCTGGATTGTAATCTTCACATAAAAGGATTGCTAGAGAACCCCTCTGTGAAGCCTCTGGCAGATTAGAATTGCCAACCTTTCATTTAGCAACTGCAGACTTAACTAGGACTCTGTAAGCAACTTCTTTTGTTATGACTGACTTGGAACTAACTCACAGCTGACCCTCCAGCATGTTTTTCAGAGGCTATAAATCACATGAGAAGAGATTATACGTATGTCTTCTGTGGAGCTGGAGGATTTGAACTGTGCGTCTTTGGGTTGGCAGTATAGCGCCTGGTGGCATTACCCATAGACAGTTCTGCTGCTAACTCAAAGGCAGCACCTTCTGGTGGTTGGACTCCACCAATGCTTTGAGACAGAAACTTGGGTAATTTCCTCCTGTACAATGTACAACCTCAGAAACCTACCTAAGGGTCAGCCATGGGTCATTTCCAACTCTTCTGCAATGAGCTTGAGAATTTTAATTTCTTCCCAACGTCTCTTATTATATAAGACTTTGATTTTTAACAAGGAAGGAAACTTTCTAACTTTCACTAATCAAATTTCATCATGTAGTTTTGTCATGACCGGTTTTCTCCCACCATCATATTCCCTTTGCCAGTTTCATAGTAATTTGGTCCTTGATGTAGAAATTTTAAGCTTTATGTTTAACAAAACATAATGTATGAAAACACAGAGGATTCCACAAATGAGAACTGACTGTGGGAGAGTCTAATAAGAATTGCTTTTGTATTAAGATGGTTTGAGGGGAGCATCATTTACTTATTTGTCTTGTCTCTTTCTCTTGACTGTACAGCGCCCCCTACGGTTCGCATTGTGCACTCAGGCTTGGCTTGTAACATTGAGGAGGAACGTTACTCGGAGAGAGTCTATACTATCCGGGAAGGAGAGACTCTAGAGTTAACCTGTTTGGTCACAGGACATCCACGTCCACAGGTGAGTCCGGAACTGTGACTCTGAACGGCTCTGATATTTTTTTAAAGTCACAGTGTACATTTTAGAAGATTTGACTTCTAGATTGAAAAAACTTTAAATATTTATGTGCATGTGGAGATTTATGTTTTTGTGCAATGGAAGACCACCATGATAATTTCTGATCATTCAATATTGAAATATTAAAATAGTTAAAATTAAAAAGGAGAATTTTTTGTGGGTTTTTTTTGCATTGTGAGAAATTGAGAAGATACTTCTGAGGAAACTGTTAAAAGGACAGCTACAAAAATATCTCTGTGAGATAACAATTTATATGGCAATAAGTTTATTTTAGAATGCTGAGCAAGATTTCATGGTGACATAACTGCTCTTGGGGCGGTATTAGTCCTGAAGAAACTGATGTATGAGGTCACATGTATTTTCCTCAATCCTAGAATCTTTTGTAAAAACAAATGTTTGTAAGTGTTCTGTTCATTCAAACTTTCAGAATTATCAGTCCAAATTACATAAGCTAATTTTATAACGGGAAAAAAATATTGACTTTCAATGGGCAATACGATTACAACCTATTTGCAAAAAAGAACTTGCAGGGGTGAAAGAGAAAGCTAAATATATGGTAATATAGGTGGATTATTGAAAAAAGGAGATGTTGTTCAGTGGCTTATGTATTTGATTGAGATCTGAAAGTTATACAGCTGGACTCCACTAAGTGCACCGCAAGGGGAAAGATATGGCACTAGAAAGATACTTCAGTGCTTCGTAAAGATGTGTATCCTTGGAAACCCTAAAGGATGACTCTATTTTGTTCTTTAGGATATCTATAAATTAGTCTACTCTATGGCAATGGCTGGTTTGGGTTTTAAGTATATTATTGCTAAAAAATAAAATTTGGATATAGAATATTCAATATATGTATTATATTCAATGGTTGAGAAGTTTTCATCATACCTTTCATTTTACTTGTTCAAAATATATACTGGTAATCAAAATAAATGATCTAGTAGGGAGCTCTGGTGGCCTAGAGGCAAGAAGCTGCTCAGTAATCCCAAAGGCACGCAGTTCGAGGCCACCAGCTGCTCCACGGGAGAAGGAGGGCACTCTTCTCTCATATGATTAACTGCCTCTGCACACCTGCTGGAGGATCAACTAGGGTTCAGTTCTGACTTTATGGTACACAACAACAACAACAATAATAAAAAAATAGACTAAATTTAGTAGACAGTTACATATTTCAACCATTGTTGTATGATTTAAAAAATCCAGCTTTTATAGCTACAGAGGACAGAATGAGGAACATTTGAGAATTTTACAAACCGACAATTTTAGCCATCATTTTAATAGGAATTCTGAAACATTTAATTGTGAGTATGTGGAACTTATACATAGATCAGGAGGCAATTGTACAAATAAAGCAAAGGGTACACTGTGGCTAAAAACCAGAGAAGGTATCAGGGTTGTATCCTCCATCATACTTAAGTTATATTTTAGCAAATAACCCGAGAAATAAGACAATATAGAGAAAAGTATGGCATCAGGATTGGAGGAAGGACTCTTTAATAGCCTTTCATATGCAATAACATAACCTTGTTTTCAGAAAATAAATTAAAAGACTTTAAGAAAGTACCCACTGTTGAAGGCTACAGCCTTCAGTAGGGATTGCACCTTAAGATAAAAATATAAACAACCAACCAACCAACCAAAAAAAACCAAACAAACCCAGCAACAGCAACAGCAAAACTTGACCAAAAATTGGACCAATAACCTACATCATCATAAATGAAGGAAAGATAAAAGAGTTCTTTTTATTTGAAACCACAGTCAACACCCACGGAGATCACAAACAAAATAAATCACATATTGTATTGAGAAAATCTCCTGCAAAAGACCTCTTTGTAGTGTTAAATAACAAAAATGCTGTTAGGAGCGCTAAGGTGTCTCTGACCCAAGCCCTGATATTATCTGTCACCTGACGTGTGCAGAAACTAGAGCACATGAGAAAGACCAAGGAAAAATTCGTGCCTTTGAATTATGGTGTTGGTAAAGGGTACGGGCTGTATCACTGCCTCCAGGAGAGAATCTTTTCTTGGAAGGAGTAAGCACTCAGAAAGTTCCTTAGAAGTGAAGATGGTGAGATTTTATCTACAGGACTTTGGACATATTTCCAGGTCATACTAGTCTCTCAAGAAGGACATCATGTTTAATAAGTAGGAGGTCAAAGAACAAGAAGACGACTCTTAACAAGATGCATTGGCACGGTGGCTGTATCCGTGAGTGGGCTCAAATAGCGATACTTGATGCTGGTGCAGGCAGTGTTTTGTTCTGTTGTATATATTTTTATATTTCTTCTAACATCAATTTTGGTTTTCTTCTTTTTTGTTTTTTTAATAGTATTTTTACTTTAGTCTTATCTGATGTCCTTGATGTAATTTCATAACTTCTATCATTAGTATCCAGTGAATCAAATCCGTTACATACAGAGTGTCTAAATTTAGGTGTAATATGCTTAAAATTGTACTTTGGCCCCTGTTGACTTTCTTCAGTTTACGATAACTTGCATATAAGCAACTGATATTGTGTTCTGTATTCACACCCTGTCCTTGTTCTGACTATTGAGCTTCTCAGTTATCTCTTCCACAGATGTGGTTGATTTGATTCTGGTGCATTTCACATGAAAGAGTTATATGTGTATAGTTACTCTGTTGAGAATTTGCAGTGACTAGAAGGTTGGTGTTGAAAAAATGTATCATAAGATCTCCAGACTCCTTTCTATCACCAAAGCCATATTTTCTAACTATTGACCTTTCACTAATTTCCATCTTTTGCCTTCTGATCAGCAGTCATTATCAGTGATTCTTGCTGCATCAATTTCAGGATGGCAAAAATCTTCAATCTTTGTAATTTTTATGAATTATTGGTTTTTTAGTTTGGTTCAGATCTACCGGCTGCTCTGCTGGAGGAATATGAATGTGCCCCTCTCATTTGCTATATTGCCTGGGAGGGTCATCTACAAATCAGTTCCTGCTGGATAGCAGTGAGGGAATGCCTAAGATATCTCCAAGAATTCAATTTTATCTTTGAAGACTTCTAATTTTCTTCAGTTCAAGCTGTATATATTAAACTTTGAATTATTAAATGGTGTTTGCTACTGTTTCTTCTCATTAGTTAAACAAATAGATATCCAGACATTTTAGTTCCTCCCTGTCCACAAAGTCATCTCGATTTTGCAAGAGACAGATTTATCCCCAGTCATAATTTGAGTGACTCCAAACCCAAGGATCACATTTTCTGGTGCTGTACCGGGGTCAGGGTGGGGGAAACCCACAACCAAAAAAACTCTGCTGTTCATAAGATTTTCATTGTCCATTATGTTTGCATGTAGATCACCAGAAGCTTCTTCCTAGTCTACTTTAATCTAAAAGTTCATCTGAAACATGACTGCCACGGATGGTGCTGAAGGTATTTGAAAGACCAGCATCATAGTAGCACGTAAGTCACCGGTGTCTGACAAACTTAACAGACAAATGGTGGAGAGGTGAAGTATTGGAATTAAAAAATTATAATAGAAATAAACAAACCTAAAAGAAGACATAGGGAACTGTATTAGAGGCAAGATCAGAACAAAGAAATTCTGTGGGGCTCCCGTCATTCCCATACTGAAAAACCACAATCATGCACCTCCTAAGTTCTAATTTTTCTTAAAATTTTTTCTCTGTTTTCAAGACATGTCACATATTTCTCTGCTGCTCTTAAACTGCTATTTATATAAGATTGAAAATTCATATTGTTTATATGTGTGTGACGTTTAATTTGTTACAAACAACAAAAAAGCTTGAAATTTTTAATCCCCAGCCATTCTGAACCAATTGTAGATTGTTGCTTTATTCATGTATTTATATTTTAATTTCAAACTTGGAAACATTTCAATATATTATAATCCTGAGGTGAGTTTGGAGGATCATTGGAGTATCATTATTTCTTTATTCTGAGGAGTAAATCAGATGCTTACAGGTGAAAAATTAACTGGGCCTTTTTTCTGTCAACAAACTGGATAAAGAAGGCTGGGGGAACAGCTGGGACTTGGCATCCTGGCCAAAAACTGAAGGGCAGGCTTTTTGGCAGCTGGTCTTAAGAATTATTTTTCTTGGCTTTTACCGGGAAGCTGGAATGGTTTTCTTGTTCTTTGTCTAATCTGAACATAATAATAGTTGGAAATGCAATGGAGGAAAGAAATTCCTGATTTGTTTATCAGAAAATTTCTTAATCTGTTACCTAGTCTATAGCAATGAAAGGCACTTGACCATTTATAAAAAATACCCTAAGGTAGGGGCCTCCAGGGGCCTAGTGGCAAGAAGCTGCGCTGCAATCCTGAAGGCATGTGGTGAGAGGCCACCACTGCTCTGTGAGAGAAGGATGGGAATCTCTGGTGCCATTAACTGCCTCTGAAAACCTGCTGGAGGGTCAGCTATGAATCAGGTCAGACTTGACAGTGCATAGCAACAACAGCAAGGTAATGGATGTGGAAGGTTGAAAAGTTCTCCTCCCCCACGTAAACATGTGTATATGTGAAACTTGGTCTCACATACTTTGAGCATGTTGTCAGGAGAGACCAGTCTTTTGGGGATGGACATTATGCTTGGAAAAGTGGAAGGCCAACGTAGGAGAGGAAAACCTTAGATAAGATAGATTGACTATGACAATGGGGTCAGGTGTGTTAGAGATATGGAGGTTGGCTTAGAATAAGACAAGATTCAGATTTCTTGTTCATAGTTGTTACATAACAATAACAACACACACACACACATACACACACACACACATACACATATCTATATCTGTCTATATCTATCTATATCTATCTATCTATCTATCTATCTATCTATCTATCTATCTATCTATCTCCTTCAATCTGGTGGATTGACATAGTGACTCTAAGAATAGATTCATGTGTGTCAGAGATTGTGAGGATAGCACAAGATAGGACAGGGTTCATAAGGTTGCTGTGA